AGGTTATTATACAAATATATTATGTATTAATAAAAATCTGCTTATATATAAGGTTAGATTATTTTAATTTAGAATTTGCGCTCTTAGGCTGTAACTGTGATTACTTCGCCCTTAATATATCAAATAATCTGTTAATTTATAAATTGTTGAGAATTTTTAAAATGTTAATTTTATTAAGATACATTTAGAGATTTATAGAGTTATACTAATTATTATTTATAGAGTTGTTTTTAATATATTTATTAATTAGTTCAATAGAAGGTGTAACGATCTAATTGTTTGAAATTTACAAGCGAATTAGTTTTTCACCAACGTGTGTATAAATTAATATGTTTAATTATTTAAATGAAACGTATAATTTGTTAATTAAATGCGTTTTATTTATATACCTATAAATCGTTTTAATTACGTAACAAAAAGTATGTAATAAAAAAAGCGAATACTTATATCTATACCTACTTGCAAAAATAAATTACAAATTAATAATTTAATATTAGCTTGTTTGTTGTAGAGTAAGGGTAACAAGCACACAGCCAACTACTTCCAGAAACACCTACTTATCATCATCACATGCTGAAGAATCAAAATGCAAATACGATGTCACCCCCAAAAGGCTTAGGTGGAATGCCTCGTTTCCGGTAAAATAGGTGTCTGGTTCTCTTCACTCACCATTTAAAACACATCAGCTTTAAACTGCTGTTTTATGCTGGTCTCTTGTGAGAAGAACCGACATCTGATGGGGAATAAAGGTTTTCGAGTGGCAACCTCGTACCAGTGAGCGAGTTGTATGGCGGCTCCCCACTAGAGTAACGACCTGGTAAGTTATGCAAGAAATCAATGTTTATCAGTAGACTTGTTAAGGGTTGTAATTATGATGATTATGATGATGATTCTGTGAGAGATGGAGTTGATGTATCAACATTTCCCTACTAGAATTTTACAATTTAGTATGTTAGAAATTAGTATAACACCAAAGTAGATTATGTATGCAAACCAAGAGCACCGCCATCTTAATATCTAATTGATTACATCTTTTTGAGAGAATTACATCCGTAAGTTTTTACATTTCTTTTATAGGAAAAGGGTGACAAGCGAGCACACAGTCCACCTGATGGTAAGTGGTTGCTTTGGCCCATAGACATCTACATCTATCCTCGTTTGTGAATCAAAATGAAGATGCGTTGTCAGCTTTGCGGACTAAGATGGAATGCCTCTTTTCCAGTAAAAAGGGTCTCCGGTTCTCTACACTCACTATACGAAACACAGTAGCGTTAAGCTGCTATTTGACGCTGGTATTTCGTGAGAGCGTGGTCCTTCCCCGGTCGAGCCGACCCATTCGTGCTACAACTATACAATTAATATAGCTGCAGCATGGCTCTACCACGTAAAGACAAACACATTAAACACGTTAAACGCATCCGTGTTTAAGACCAACTTAAATTAAAGATATGGCTAAAATTTACATTTGATAGTAAGAAACATTTGAGCAGCTTAGTATCTCTATCCTAAGCAGCCCATTAGCTTCACAGACCGTTAAATGTTTGAGGATAGTCTATTCTGGCATATGTATATAATGGGTGCGTTTGGCAGAAAAAAGCGCTAGCAAGCGCTTGTAAGCAAAATGGCGATCGTTAGCGGTAAGCGCTGTCAAATCGTAAGTAGCTATTTTCCTCTATGACACGATGTTAGTTTTCACCGGGGAGCCTAACCTAATTTAAATATATGTTTATGAAGTATTCATATTAAAAACTTACCAATCATGAATTTTTAATAACATGTATATGTCTATTCATGTCATTATATTATTTAAAACTAATATTGCAAAAAACAACTTATAAACTCTACTTCAAAACAAACAAATTAAATAAGCAAAATGGCGGATTGTGTCAGCTCTACTGAAGTAGCAATCGTGTCCTGGCCGAAAACTATTTTAGCGCTAGTAAGCGCTTGCTAGCGCTTTTTTCTGCCGAACGCACCCAATGATTTATACGTCATTGCTATAAGTTAACAGTTTCATTTCGATAGGTGTAATAATCTATGGATTTAACAATGTAACTATTGAATTTTTTCTGTGGAAAAACCTTTATGTCTAGGAATCAGTCTGGGCGGGTACAACCATCCTTTGACTTCTTGAGTATATATGACCGGTAAAGTTACAGGTTGTAAAGCATTCTATCTTAGCCCTCAGAGATGACAACGCATCTGTAGCCTTATTTGCGTGAAGTTGGTAGCAGATTACCTTAAGGTGGACTGTTACTACAATTTTATAAAAAAGGTACATTAAGGTGCCTCACTAAGTACAATTTAGATATTTTTAGCGCCTTCTTATTAGAAATAGTGCTTTACATTATTTAGTATTTGCTTTCATAATATATAGTATTTGACTTTGTTGAAAATATGTTTTCTTGAAGAAGTTAAAATAGCTATAAAATTTATGCAAAAAAACTTGCAGCATGTGGGTGATGCGGTGGTATGCGAGTACGTACTCCGTCTGTATTACCTTATTTAAGATTAATTTTGGCTTGTTATGATATGATGTAATTCTTATTCAAAAATAAATATAGCATTTTTGTCTTTGCAACGGTCATCTTTTTTTAATTAAGTATTTTATACGGTATTTGTGCTCATTTACTTTTGCAGCAGCTCCTTGCCTTGCTCCAGCTGTGCTCATTCTTTTACTTATGTTCCCATTTGAAGGGTATAGAAAATAGGGACGCCCCGTTCGTTTAAGAGAGCCAACTTCTATCTCAGTCGTAACAAGTGTCAACGGACAGTAGTACCTAGTCTTTCTTTTTAGCATGGAGTATAGAACTCCATACTTTTTAGAATTAGCTGCGGGATAATATGGGCCGTAGAAGCCACTTACCATCAGTTGAATTACTTACTCATTTGTCAATATTTGAAATTGTAGTGTTATTAAAATACGTTACGTCGAATAACGTCCTTAGTCTTTACCTATAGCCTACCTATACCTATATATAGTGTTTGAATTACCGCTTGAAGAGGATTTTTAACGTAAAAATGATGCAACATATTGCTGTCTCCGTCCATGAAATTGTATATTTTTGTGCCCCACAAATAATAAAAATGTTCTCCAGACCGAATTTCGGCCACGGCGGCCTGTTTCAACGGGGGCTAGCCATCGGCGCAGGACAAGTGCATAAGTGTATGCGAAAGCACAGGTGCACTCTCTATTCCCTCACTCTCATAATCCGATGGGAAGGTAAACCAACACGACCGGAGAGAGATCAGGCGCAGGACCAACGGCTTTACATGCTTTCCGAGGCACGGGGGTGAGACACCGCCAACTTCCTGACTCCGGGCAGCTACTGAGAACTTCTTGACGGAAAAACTTAATAACTGATATTGTTGGCCCGACCAGGGATTCGAACCCAGAACCTCATGATCAGCAGTCGCACTACTACAACCACTAAACCAACGAGGCAATCATAAAACAAACCCCACAAATAAACGCATAATGTTTATAAATTTTCAATTTTTAGTCCGATTGCTCCTATTTTGGAAATTTCGACTTCATAATGTGCTTGTGGACGACTAGATACTAAAATCAATAAAAATAATTGAAAACTCTAGTAAAAGCGGATTTATCGCAAAAGCTACCCAATTAGTTACATCACCTGTTCAACAAAACGATATTAATTCATTTCCGTCAAATCAAGGGAGCAATGAAACTCGCAAAGTGTGTAGCGTACATATTTACTGAAAGACAACAGTAAACTCGCAAAACTAGCCTTAATTTGTGGAATCGACACACAAATGCGGAGATTTTGAATCAGATTATTACTTGTACAAAACGTGAGAACTGCATGCTGATTGGAAACGTTCGTCGCCAAAACTCACGTTCAGTCAAAAGAAACTGCTTGTGATTATGGCAGACCTCTGCCGCCATTATTTCTTGATGGATTTGATCTAGCAAATGTAAACAATTGAAAACTATGAAAGATAATCTCGCTATCAAGCAACTGAGAGACTAGGACTTGTTGATTTCTCCTACCCACTTGTTTTCTTTTTATAAAAATAAAGACTGATGCTTCGATTGACTAAATATAACTTTTTTTCTATATAAAACGGCAATTTCTTACGTTGTTTTTAAATTGTTGTTCACATAATAAAATATTTGTTGTTAACAATAAAGTACAGGTTGAGCTGAGAGAGAACACTAGTCGCATAAATAGTTAAAAGGTGAGACGTTGGGACACAGTGACCTCTATGGAAAGCGTGACTTTCGCTTATATTCTCGCTAGGCGTTTAAAGGATCTTTAACTATTACACCTGTTTGTTAAATATTATTATTATTTTTGGTTTACTATACTTAATGTTCAAATATATTGTTCACATTTATTAAATAGATACAAAACTAGCGTATATTTCTTAGTATTTCTAAGAATCTATCTTCCTTTTTGGTTTTTTGGTTGTTTCATTTATAGAGCGGTATAACGTATAAACTTACATAATATTGAACATTTTACCGAGAAAATGTTGCTAATATATGTAGCGTCACCCCTGTAATCCCCAAGGGGGTAGGCAGAGTCCAAATAGCAGCGAGATACTCCGATAATTTTTAGTCAAAAATAGGGGTTTAGACGATAAAAGTAGTGATAGGTAGTAGTGATAGCTTCTCTTTTACGACATGCTAGGTAAGTAACGTAGTTGGCAGAACATTTGTAATATAAATTCCCCATAAACGTGGAATGTATAAGTCCCACATCAACATGGGCCATGTAGTGCTAATAACGTCGCCATAATAAATTATTTGACTAGTGATAGTAGTGCGATATTGTCGTAAGCAAATCACGTTCGTCCGCGAGAACATGGCTGCGGATAACGCATCTCAGTGTGTGTCCGTTTGTGAACGCGCGCGACAAGTTCATAAACGAAAACGAAAGACGATGCGCCAGCCGTGCGCGAAATTCTAAAATTCGACTTATGTTGTTAGGTTTTTCAATATTTTTTATTTAAAGCCAGGACAGAGATTCAGGATGTGGAAGTGCTCTTTAATTTTAGTGGTTTTTGTTATAACTTTCGCTAATTCCGAGGTTGGTGATGACTTTTATAACTTCCTCTTCTCTTTTTTAATTTCCTCTTTTATTTATGTATAGCTAAAATTAAATTTCTAATGATATCTTTGAGAAAGAGTTTTAACTTTCTCTTTTGAAACTATTAGTAACAATATACGATTTTCTAAAGGAATATAATTTTTTATTTAAATTATATTATGTTATTACTTAATAAGATACGAAATATGATACAAAAATCTATTTCAATTTTGTCGTACTAAATAGTACTGATATATTAGCTATGATTTTATGATGGTATTTTTATTTTTTGTAATAACAAATTTTATTATTTAAATTTTTATAATGCATTAAGCTTTAATTATATAAAAATATAAAGTTTCATGTTTAGGAGGATGCAGCACAAGATGGACGAGGAGAGTTTGCAAAGAATTTCTTTGGCGGGTTGTGGGGAAACCGTCCTCCGATCATGGAAAAGTATCACCCTAACCCAACATGTACTTGCAGTTAGTATTATCTTTTTTAATATTTGTAGTAATATAAATTCTTTTTCTATAAATGAGTAGGCTTTTTTTATAAAATAAGGGTGACAAACGAGCACACAGTACACCTGATGATAAGTGGATGCTGTGGCCAATAGACATCTACATCTATCGTCAGGTTAAGAATCAAAATGCAGATGCGTGGAACTAAGATGGAATGTCTCGTTTCCAGTAGAAGGGGGTCTCAGGTTGTTTTTGCACTCACCATGCGTATTCTGTAAGAGTCTCGAAGTCGGTCGAACCGTCTCATTCACGCTATAACTATAATATGGCTGCAGCGGGGCTAATACGTATAAAATAACATAACGATATTTAATCGCACACATAATTTACAATTTTAGCTACAATTATGTATATTTCTATGGCAATAGATCGTTGTGGCGTTATTCGTACAAATAAAATGGCACGTAAATTATCAAAACCTGATGATATATAAATGATCAAATACAATGTCGGAATAAGTAAAAAATAAATAATTTGATATAAAATTTCTATACAATATTTGAGTCATAAAATCTACGCTAAATGATAGGAGTTCATAATATATTTTTCATTTATTTAAGTTTTAATAAGTAACATAATTTTGTAATTTAGACAAACAAAAAATTTTTGCTATAACCTTTGATGTTTTATATCGGCAGCAATGGCTTAAAATACCAAAAAAGAGCATGTAGACTGATAATCGTTTTTCAATATCATCCATTATGCAAAGATTACGATTTAAATCTTTGATATTATTCAAATGAATTAAAGATGAGATTTGAGGAAAAGAAAAAAATGTAGTTCAAAAAGTAGTTTGTTTTCATATATTGTGATATTAATATAATTAGTTAAGGTCACCTTCGCAAGTTTATTATACTAAGCAATATATAATAATAGCAACATATATTTGTGCCATTTACAAGAAGAATCATAATAATCTATATATATATATATATATACATATATATATATATATATATATATATATATATATATATATATATATATATATATATATATATATATATATATATATAGAGTACAATCTGCCACTTTGCCTGGCGTATGTGGACTATGAGAAAGCCTTTGATTCCGTCGAAATTTGGGCGGTGCTACAGTCCCTTCAGCGGTGCCAAGTTGACTGTCGGTATATCGAAGTGCTGAAGTGTTTGTACAGTAGGGCTACGATGGCTATCCGAGTACAGAACCAGAGCTCGAAACCTATCCAACTGCAGAGAGGTGTAAGACAGGGTGACGTTATATCCCCGAAACTCTTCACCGCTGCATTGGAAGACGTTTTCAAGCTACTGGACTGGAAAGGATACGGTATTGACATCAATGGCGAGTACATCACTCACCTTCGATTTGCCGACGATATAGTCCTTATGGCAGAATCGCTGGAGGACCTAAGCACTATGCTCAATGCTGTGCCTCCCAACGGATTGGTCTTAAGATGAACATGGACAAAACAAAGATCATGTTCAATGTCCATGTCACACCTATGCCGGTAGTTGTTGGGAGCACTATGCTCGAAGTTGTTGACGAATACGTTTACCTGGGACAAATAGTCCGACTAGGTAAGTCCAACTTCGACCGAGAGGTCAATCGACGGATTCAACTCGGCTGGGCAGCGTTCGGGAAATTACGGCATATCTTTTCGTCAGGTATACCTCAATCTCTAAAAACTAGATTGTACAACCAGTGCGTGTTGCCAGTGATGACTTACGGATCTGAGACGTGGTCCTTCACTGCTGGCCGTATGAGGACGCTTAAGGTCGCTCAGCGAGCTATGGAGAGGGCTATGCTCGGAGTTTCTCTGCGTGATAGACTCAGAAATGAGGATATCCGCAGTAAAACCAGAGTGACCGACATAGCCCAACGGATTAGTAAGCTGAAGTGGCAATGGGCCGGCCATATAGCTCGAAGAACCGATAACCGATGGGGAAGAAAGGTTCTCGAGTGGCAGCCTCGTACCGGTAGGCGTAGTGTAGGGCGACCCCCCACTAGATGGAGTGACGAACTGGTAAGACATGCAGGAAGTCGATGGATGCAGGTGGCTCAGGACCGTGCTTTGTGACATACTTTGGGGGAGGCCTATGTTCAGCAGTGGACTTAAAAAGGGCTGTAATGATGATGATGATGATGATGATGATATATATATATATATATATATATATATATATACATATAACCTTTTAGACTATAGAATAAGGGTGACAAACGAGCACTCAGTCCACCTGATGGTAAGTGGATGCTGTAGCCCATACACATCTACATCTATCCTCGATTAAGAATCAAAATGCAGATGCGTTGGCACTCCTATGGACTAAGATGGAATACCTCGTTTCCAGTAGAAGGGTCTCTGATTCTCTACCCTCACCATACAAATCACAGCAGCATTGAACTGCTATTTAATGCTGGTATTCTCTGAGAGCATGATCTTTCCCCGATCGATCCGACCCATTTGAGTTACAATCATAATATAGCTCTACCACGTATCATATAAGTCACCGCACTTCACATACTCTATATTATAAATTACAAAACACTCCTGACCATGGGAGTATCACGTCCAGATATTTAAAGTTAAGATAGTTAAGAGTTAGAGGAGTTTACGAATCTTTTGAAATTGCATCCTGATTCTTGTTGAACATTTAAGTTACGAAAATTCTTGATTTAAGCGAAATCCATTATAACAAAGGTACCAATAGTTAATTTGCAACCATCCGCTTGATTAAATGTAATAATAATAATCAAGCGGATGGTTGCAAATTAACTATTGGTATCTTTATTAAGCGTAATGATATCTTTCACAAATGGTCGGCAGTGGTGAAAAAATGTCTTGCAGTAATATGTATTTATTATAGGTCATGGGCACCAGCAGCAGAGTGCATTCCATTGCATTGCACCTGTATTGTCAGAAAAGAAAATACATAGAGTTTTTTCAAACAGTAACCTAATTTTTTTTAAATCAAGTAACTGTTTGAATGAGGGTCAGCTCACACCGAGACGTGACGCGACGCGGTGCGGCGCGCACTTTTTGAGATAGTAATACAAAATATAAACTTATTTACTACACAAAAAGATACACATTTTGTTTAGCTAACAAACTTTCTAAGTAAATTAGTTCTTCCTGTTCTCCCTAGAAGGTGCTATCGCCGAGTGAGTCGCGGTATCATTTGAATTTTTCATTATGATGTATAGTTAAATAATCTTGGCCTCCTTGAGTTTTCTATAAAACAGTGTAGTGGTGTGTGAGTAAAACATAGTGATAAAGTGTGAGTGTTTCATTAACCAAATGATCCTTCGAGCCGGATAAACTGTAAGTGAAGTGCAAGTGTCGAACATAGTGCAATAACAGGACGTCTAAGAGTTATTTAAAAATGCAAAAATAAAAAAAAGACTTCACGTAATAAAAACACTTCGAAAAATTTGATTGAGAATAAAAGACTAAGATGAATTTGTGTGATAAAAAGACTTGAACATTTAGTGTCTGTGTTGAAATAGTGATATTTGTATAAATTAAACTTTTTCATCAATTTACATTTCCGAATATCATTTTACGTTGTAGAGCCATGCTGCTGCTATATTAATTGTATAGTTGTAGCACGAATGGGTCGGCTCGACCGGGGAAGAACCACGCTCTCATAGAATACCAGCGTCAAATAGCAGCTTAATGCTGCTGTGTTTCGTATGGTGAGTGTAGAGAACCGGAGATTCTTTTTACTGGAAAAGAGGCATTCCATCTTAGTCCTCAAGGCTGACAATGCATATTTATTTTGATTCGCAAGCGAGGATAGATGTAGATGTCTATGGGCCACCGCAACCACTTACCATCAGTTGGACTGTGTGCTTGCTTGTCACCCTTTTCCTATAAAAAAATTCAATATGGCGGATCAACTTGCAAAACAACATGTAACTACTATGATTCAAAATGCAACTAAAATTGAAAAACTACTTACAAATACGAAAAAATGTTCAAAGGATCAACGAACAAGAGGTTATTTAGATACGCGCATGGAGACATTACTTGAATATTGGGCTTGTTATACAAAACGTTATAATTTGCTTACTGTATCGTTGGACAGTGAAATATTGAAAACCGAATATGATTTCGATATTGATGATAATTTTGAACAAACTGAGGAACATTATTTGGACATAAAGACTTGACTAATCCATAGGCTTTATGATATTGTACCAATGAGTGAATCTTCAAAATCTGATACAACTTTAGAACTTCCTAAACTTAGACCAAAGCTACCTCCAATAGCTATACCACAATTTTCTGGTGATTATAATCAGTGGATGAGTTTCAGAGATCTATTTCTTTCCTTGATACATTTTGATGACCGCTTGTCTAAAATCGATAAACATCATTATTTAAAATCGAGTACTCAAAAAATATTTTTTAACTAAAGCGAACTATGATGATGCATAGAAAAAACTAAATAAAAGATATGAGAATAAGCGAGTGATTGTGAATAATATTCTAAGTCGAGAAAAAACTAACGACTGAATCAGCAAAAGGTATCAAAGATTTACTAGACACTACTAGCCAGTGTCTCACATCTCTAAAAAAATCGAAAATTGATTCATGGAATGCAATAGTCGTTCATATTCTAGTCTCAAAGTTAGACGTTGAACCTCATGAGCTTTAGGAACAGTCCTTAGAAAGCTTAACAAATATTCCCACATATGACGTACTAAACAGCTTCTTATAAAAACGATTCCGAACAATGGAATTGGTCAATCTTTCACAACCTCGAGAAACATTTAGAAAAGACGCACCGAAATCTGATCAACATATTCCTAAAACAACTACAGTCAAAAGCTTTGCTACCGAAGTTGAAAGCACTTGTACTTACTGCTCACAGAATTATTAAATTTGCCACTGTAAAGAGTTTTCTGCAATAATGGTTAGGTCACTCCTGTCATGTACATGTACATGGACTATGGGTACAGCAGGTTGTGGACCTCGAGGCACTCCTCATTACCCGGATTTTCCTAACGGCCCACTACTATGTGCCGGTCAGATCGGCATTTTTAGTAAGTGGCATTTTCCATTTTCCATTAAAAGTTAGTTATCTTATATGTCAGAGTTGGTCTATCTGTGACATTGTGGGTTGTTACTCGAATCTCTAATCTATAAATAGAGGAGTTCTCTTGGTAGAGTTCCTCCGTCCGGGGGTCGGGCATGTAAAGGTGCCAAGTTCTTGAGGTGGGGATGTGGCCCGTTGTCAGCGCGGTCGTACATACCGCGCGCCAGCCGAGCCACAAATTCTTTAATGGTCTCCATCTTTAGGTTGGCCGCTATAATGTCGCTCCGCGTAGCGACCTGCACCGACGATGGTTCAAGGGGTTAAATTTTGGTAGGCCTGCAGCCGCTGCCTCTGCCGTTCGCTCAGGGGAGTATACCAAGCCGATGCAGCGTAGGTAATCTTGGGTCTTACGTAGAGCTTGTATATTTTAGTTTTGGTCTTCAGTGGCAGCCTGGATTCCAGGATAGGACAGAAGCATTGCCCGCATACATCTGGCATTACGGACTAGGACGTTGACGTGCGCAGTTATGCGCAGCATCCTATCTATCCAGTATCCAAGGTAGGTTACGGCTTTCTGGTACGCTCTCTCCTGGCTCCTCAGCGTCAGCGGTGGTGGAAGTTTTCTGAGGCGGCGGGTGAGTAAAGCGGTCGTCTTGCCAACATTAATGGTCATCCTACACTCATCCAGACGTGGCGGCAGCAGGTCCAGCAGGCGCTGAATTTTAACAGCCGTGACATGGACTTTTCTAGACGATGAAAGTAGGCGCTATCTTCGGCACATAGAGCCAACTCTGCACCGTCTTCCTATTTGCGTAGGTTATCCTTGAGCGTTGTAATGTCATTAGTATAATCCGCGTCCAGGATCAGCGTCTCCGACATAGACGTAAAAGCTCTTGTCGGCTAGAAATGACGCCACTAGCCGCAGCATAGCAGGAGGGACACTCATTTGATGTTCTAGTTTAAAAAGTAATTCAGAATGCCACACACTATTGACCGCCTTCTTGATATGGAGGAAGATGCCCAACGATGAGCGGCCGCGATTGTATTCAGCCGCTAAAAAGTACAGCACCGTAGTCAGTTGTGTTACTGTGGAGTGGTCCCTCAAAAATCCATGTTGCTCCGGCCGAAGTTGTATGCACGAGCGGATTCTTTTTAATAGTATGCGTTCTAATAGTTTGGCTATGCGCGTCAGCAGCGTTATCGGTTTATAACTAGCTCCTCTATGCCTGTCCTTCTCGGGCTTCGGCAGGACGATAACTTTGCTGGTTTTTCAATCCTCCGGCAAGTGGGATGTCCGTAAAATTCCATTGTAGAGCCGACCTATCTCTACTAGTGTTCTGTTGGGCAACTGTCGAAGTGTTGTGTTGGTTAACCAGTCGTGCCTAGGCGCCTTTCTCGGTTGTAGGCGGGCTACTGTCCTCCGCAGTTCAGCGGAGGCGATGAACCCCACTCTTGCCAGCAGTGGCGCGGGCGACGACAGAAATTCCCGTACGCGGCTCTCCTTTTGGACCTAAAGCTCCATGAACTCCGCACTTGCTGGGTTCGGAATAAATTGTTCCTCGAAGTGCTCTACCAGGATCTCCGCTCTACCTTTGGCCTCGTAACAACGCTCGCCCGCAATGCTGATCAGCGGGCAGAGGGTTGGTTTGGTTTTTGTAAGTCGGCGGTTCAATTTGTAGAGCGACGACTTTCCTCTGTGGGCCTGGATTGCAAGCGATAGCTCATTCGTCAGTTTATTGGGTTGGGTCTTCAGTCTTGGGGAGTAGGTGGGTGCTCAGAGCTTCCTCAGCGCTCGCTTTGTGTTGAGCTGCACAAGCAACTCTCGCGGCAGCTTGTCTCTACTATGCTTTAGAGGTACGGCAGTAGAGGCCGCGTGGAGGGCTTCTTGGATGGTCTTTGTAATTCTGGTAGAACTGGCTTCTACGTCGTCCGCTAAGTAAATCTCGATGTAGATTGGTAGTCTCTCCTGTAAGTATTATTGGTAGAGCCTCCAGTCGATTTTCTTCTTAAAAGCTCTGGCCAGCGAAGTCACTGCCTTGAGGCCAAGGGTAATCAGTATAGAGAGGTGTTGTGTGTTCATATCGTAACTCTACCACTATCGGGCAGTTGACGTTCTTAGAAAGCACGATGTCCAGTACATCCAGACGTTTCCGTGGATCCTTAGAAACGTGAGTTGGCTCTTCGGAACCTAAGAGGTTGTAGTTATTCTGTTCTGCGTTTTCATATAGTTCTCTACCCGGTGTGTTGATCAGTCTGGATCCCCACGCTGGGTATTTAGCGTTTCGGTCCCCAGCGATGATACGCTGTCGCCTCTATTTTTATGCCAATGGAGCGCATAGTTTTAAAAGATGGTAAATCAAGTTCTAGACGGACGAAGTCTTTCCTCACAAGGATAGTCGTGCCTCTATCGGCGACTCCTTGGGCGTTAACCTCCTATAAATGTGGTAATTGGGCAGCTTAATATGCATCGATGGTCTAAGTGTCCGCTGGCAGCCTCCCGATGGTAGTACTGACGGCTTGGTTTGTGGCACTGACTATCCGGCAGATGTCGCTAGTATCGCATAGGTGGTTGAGTCCCACCCATACGACTCCTCTCCCCCTTGCTCCAACTCAGCCGTGTCCACAATACTCCGACGGTCGGGTGAGATGAGAGGGGTTGGCTTCGGTGGCGATGGCGATTTCAGTGGCGTGTTACGGCTCTTGGACCTGTCCGGTTTTTGGATTTCTTTATCCTTTGAGGATGATGTTGGCAAAGTGGATGAATATTCAGATGATATGGTGAGCCGGTGCATTGCCTCTTCTCGAACAGCGATGCATCGGTCTATGGTGGAATATTTCTCCGTGCCATTTTCTTCAGCCGCTGCGGTAGGGGAACCACTCGTACGGTCGGGTACGCAAGTTTGTTTCGCACAACGGTACCTATATTTATAATATGTCGATGTTTGACACACTACGTTCATATATAAATTTGAAATATACGTTAGGACTTTACATATAGGATATATATATATATATATGTATATATATATGTATATGTATATATATATATATATACATATATATATACATATATATATATATATATATATATATTAAGGAGACGAAAATTTATAAACCTGTTTTATGTCGACGAAAATACGTAAATCTGAAAGAAAATTCCCTCTCTTTACCCCTTGTTTTAATAATTTATTATATCAACTCTACCAGTTCTCTGTAAACTCATATAAAAATAACAACAAATAATTTTAATGATTCAAACTTAATTTTGCGTATTCTTGTATTGTACATATTCTAATTTGTTCACTTTGTGTTGTTCTTAAACCGTAGTAGTCGAATTATTTAATACTTAAATAAGTATTATACGGAATTTCTTACAAAATAAAACTTGTAAAATATTTCAAATTTATGTTCAAATCAATTTCAAATCAATTAATTAATAAAACAGAGTGGATAGAGCTGTGATGTGAGATGTGTGTGTGTGATCACATAATGCGGGTAGCAAACAATTTGAGCAACAATCTGGTTGTTTTACTTTTGTATATATTTAAGACAGTTGCTCCATTGTACATTAAAGGTCAGAAAATGTTCCTAGTATCGGCCAATTCATGGCAGCTACACTTTACAATTTTGTATGAGGAGCTTTCGGTTTAGGTACTCGTCAAAGAAGACGCTAGTGTTCGTAGTGTTTATGTTATTTTATATTTTATCCTTTACTTATTTTACTTTTATATCGTGTGGCTTGAGATATATAAATAGTAGCTAACTAAAATCACAGTAGACTGAAACAATAATACTTCATGATCGAGTGCTTAAGAAGAATGTTAATTGTTTTTACTTTTCTGAAATAATAACGTTATTACTTTATTAGTTCATACTAATTCGTCAATTTCTTTTATAATATCAAAGTGACAACCAAGCTAACTACCTAAATGATAGTATTTGCAGTTCTTGGAGTAATTGTACTGGTCTGTGATATGTTGAATATTTTATAATTTTCCGTTTCAGAATGCGGTGAGAGGAATGAAGTATCACGTATCGTTGGCGGTACAGAAGCTAGCAACGATGAGTTCCCTTGGATGGCCAAATTGATTTACTTCAAACGTTTCTATTGTGGTGGAATGCTAATTAACGATCGATATGTACTGTCTGCTGCGCATTGTGTCAAAGGGTAATTAATCTATTAATTTTCTACACTAACATTTGTAGTCGCGGCGTCACGGAATTCCCCATTTCGTTTTATGGGTGTCGTCAGGGCAACCATGGGAAGCACTAGAAAGATATCATATAGCTTCCGATAGATGGCGCTATAGCATCTCGTGTATGTACGATGTAAAATGTAAAATTCGCCAATCCGTGTACCAAACGATACATTCTTCATTCAGAATTCATGAATTTTCCGAGGCATTTATTTTTTCTTCACATGGACTAATACTAACGAATCCAAAGTTATTGTGAAAGAGAGCATCTTACTATGCATATCAACTTAAATCCTAAGTTGTGATTAGTTAACTAATTTTCATCTACAATAGGTATCGGTGTTGTCACCTTGTAACAGAAATGATAATGAAGGTTAAACATTTGACTAGATTTTCATTTTATTGTAACTTATATTAGAATAAATAAGGATAATAGAAATTAGCTAATACTAACTGCTACGTGTAGGTATTAGTTGGACCACGCATTACTCGTCGGTTCACATCCAGCTTTCAGGGTTACCGGTTAATGTAAGTGACGGCTCGGTAGCGCAGTATCGAAGCATTTAGCTGCGGTTCCAATCCTGCACGGATAAATATGGTCATTTTATAGAATAAGAGTGACAAACGAGCACATAATACACCTGATGGTAAATGAATACTGTGACCCAAAAACATCTACATCGGTTAAGGATAAAAATGCAGATGTGTTATCACCCCTGAGGACTAAGATGGAATGCAACATTCCTAGTTAAAAGGGTTTCCGATTCTCTGCACGCACCATACGAAACACAGACCCATTAAGCTGCTATTTTACGCTGGCATTCTGTGAGGGCGTGGTTTTTCTCCTTCGAACTGACCCATTCGTGCTACAACCAAAAGATATAAAAGATCTGCAGCGTGACACAATAGATGTAAATAGTACAAATCATTGTTCCGGATCTGGATATTTGTCAATGTGAAATTTACGTGGTAGAGCCATGCTGCAGTTATATTAGTAGTATAGTTGTAGCACGAATGGGTCGGCTCGATCGGGGAGGGACCACGCTCTCACAGAATAACAGCGTCAAATAGTAGCTTAATGCTGCTGTGTTTCGTATGGTGAGTGTAGAGAACCGGAGACCCTTTTTACTGGAAACGAGGCATTCCATCTTAGTCCTCACGGGTGACAACGCATCTGCATTTTGATTCGTAATCGAGGACAGATGTAGATGTCTATGGGCCGCAGCGGCCACTTACCATCAGGTGGACTGTGCGCTCGTTTGTCACCTTATCCTATAAAAAAAAGTTAAACTAACGATAGTACTGTTAAACTACGATATAGGAGAAATTACTTGCGTGGAGTAACATTTCACAAGCAATATGTTAATGAAACTCATTAAATATGTACATAAACTAATGTTTCTTCTTGTTTAGGTAGTGCTTTCGATTTGTAGCACTGTCGTGAACATATAAAAAATAGAACATAAAAACTATACGACCTATTTAAATGTTGACCGTGTAAAAACTAAAGCAGTAAAAGGTTTCGAAAATTTTCTAGTATTAACCTTTGGTAAGTTCTAAAGTTACTTGAATCAATATAGGAGTGTGAGTACGTGGTTTAGTATGAAGTTTAAATATTTGCACAAAACTTAAAAGGATATTGACTCGCTAACGTGTTATGGTGTTTCTTACTTACTACTCTTTTGATGTTACTACTGTTTAATAATATCTTGTTATAGTATGTTTAATAATATATTTAGATATTCCAATATATATATATATATATATATATATATATATATATATATATATATATATAAAAATTTTTTTTTTCTCCTAATAAAACATAACAGCGAGCTGTAAATATTTTTTACAAAATAACAATTGATTGTTATGAAACTTTATTTATTACATGTAGAAGACGTATAAAGTCAGGACTTCCTTGTTTATACGTATTTGGAGATCATAATAAGCCTAAGGATTGACTGGAAAGCGTTTGGCGGGGCGTGCTGCCTAGCGGCGCGTTCGACATACATTTTGAGCGGTCGACACTTTGAACTCTGTAACACAAGACCTTGTTTATCATGTATGCGAAATGCTCTATTTTGGTAAAAATTCAAATGCAGGTAAATTTAAATAGCAGATAAATCAGTAAATCAATAAGATACAAGACCGATAACCTCAGAAATGGCAAACATGCCCAAATAAGTTCTGGGACCGATCTTTCAAATTCCAATCAGTAGCATAAGTGCGTTCACCTTTAAACCGGCCCAAGGAGCAGGCTCCAAACTTTACAGTTCATTCTCCTCAAGATATGTACATTTTAAGCGCGTCAATGGACCTTTTAGTTAATTCTTTTTGTGGTTTTTGGGTTGATTGTTTAATTTACCCATCTAAATTTATGGACGTTATACCGATACCGAGAACTGCGGAGAATGTGAACGACTTGTTTACGCGAAACCAATCATGCGCCAAAAAGGAATTGTCGTCATTTGTTGTGATAAAACAAAAATAAGACGCAAAAAATACAGTAAGTGAAAGCTCATATGAGGGGGGTCATTAATAGTATGCATATCCGTGGACAGACGAAAACTACTGATTCACTTTCGCTCACTACAAATGTCTTGTTTAACACCACAATGATATTCAGAATTTTTTTAAAAGATATAATTTTTTTGTCATTAATAATAGTTTTAATACATAAGAACGGCATGTAATGTTTTTTGGTGTCTATCTCTTACTACTAGTATCTATCTTCATATTGATAATTCATGCTATTTTGCTTAGCGTTTTAGTAAAATAAATGTAATTCGCAGCAAAAAAGGAACAAAAAAACGGCCTCCAGCTCTCGACGGCTTGTCATATTAAAGGGTGGGTGACCATCTGTCCCAAGGAATGAATCGTTCGAAAGTCTCTCGTTAACATCTTTGTAAAAATTCGGAGTATGTCGACAAGGATTGCGTACCTTATCCTTAGAATTACCAAACTGTATTCGTTGAAGGTCCTACAGATTCATGCACGAACATCGGTACAACCCGTGATGAAGAGCTAGAGGAGAGGTTTGAAGATATCTTTAAAGCCATGCATTCCTCCAGAACCTACCATACGGTGATAATGGTAGACTTCAACGTAAAACTAGGTACAAAAAAGCTGAGCTGAAGTTTGGAATAGGGCGAAGGAACCCAAGGATTGAAATGCTGGCCTACTTTAGGAAGAAATAGGGACCTTCTTTATTTTTCAGAAGCGGCCCCATAGAAAATGGACTGATCCAAAGAAAGTGGACAGGTTAAGCCTGGGAAATGAAATTGACTTTATTATCTCCTCAACTCCGCAACTACTCGCTGTACTGCTAGCGATCATCTTATGGTAAAAGGCATACTTTACCTTAATGTTAATTTCAAGGACTCACGTCTGATGAAGTCTTCGTTTCGTCTAGCTAACACTCTATCCAGAGATCCAAAAACTTTTACTTCGAATCACAAAATATATTTTCAGTTTCTAGAAGATTAAATGAACAAACAAATCCCTAAATGCATGCGGCGAGGCATATGCACCGTAAATACAGCTCGTATTGAAGAAACTAGAATCGAGACTAAATTATTTGCCAGAAAGTGTCTCGGTGCGCGAAAAGTGACAAAAGGTATGGTGGAGCGAACATTAAAGTGGACTGTATTAGCGTGTAGTAGCTATTGCAGAAACTTCTAAGTCTTGTCTGCGTGCTATTTTGCGAATTGTCTTGTACGCAAAATAGACGAACTTCAGCCTACCGAACAAGAAGAACCATAGACTACATACAAACCCTCTGGAAAATTATTCAGAAGACCGAAGATTACATTGTGCCATTTTGTCTTGGGTATGTAAACTATCGGAAAGACTTTGATTCAGTCGAAATTCGGGCGGTGTTAAGTTAAGGCGGTGTCAGAACCAGAGTACAAAACCTTTCCAACTGCAGAGAGATGTAAGACAGGGTGACGTTGAATCTCTAAAACTCTTCATCACTGCATTAGAAAACGTTTTGAAATTTACTGGACTGGACAAGATACGTTATCAGTGTCAATGGCGACTACATTATTCACCGACGGTATAGTCATTAAGGTAGGATCGCTAGAGGACCTTAACACTATGCTCAATGAACTTAATAGTGTCACTACGCTCGAAATTGTTAGCAAGGATATTTATCTATGACAAATTGTCCAGCTTTAAACGAGAGGTTAAGCGATGGATTCAACTCGGCTGGACAGCGTCCGGGAGATTTCGACACATCTTCTCGCTTATACTTGTAATCTTGAAAACAAGAGTCTACAACCAGTGCGTGTTGCCAGTGATGACATTTGGACGTGAAACGTGATCCTTCACTGCAGGCCATTAAGCAAGCTAAGGAGAGGGCTATGCTCGTAGTTTCTCTGCATGACAGACTTTGCAATGAGGATATCGCCTGAAGAATCAGAGGAACCGATACAGCCTTACGATTCCGATAGTTGAAGTAGCAATGGTTCGATCATATGGTATTAAGAACCGACAACCGATGAGAAAGAAAGGTTCTCGAGTGGCAATCTCGTACTAGTAAGCAAATTACGTACCAGGCGGCTCTCCACTAGATGAAGTGACGACCTGGTAAGAGATTCAGAAAATCAAAAGAACCAGGTGGTTTAGGATCGTGCTGTGACATTCCTTGGGGGAAGGCTGTGTGCAGCAGTAACCTTGTGATGGGCTGTAGTGATGGTGATAAATAATTTTCATCCATATTTTTTAACATTGGGACGATAAATTAGCTAACAGTCATATTGTTAGTAAGTAGCTATTGCAAGACCATGAGCAATTACAATTATCTTATTAAATAAAGAAGACTACATAATATATGCTGTGATTCCTGAGATTTTAGATGGAATACCTTCATCCTGCAATGAAGCGATAAATGTTTATAAAATTTGTGTCTAGAATTCTATTATATCGGTGCACTTTTCAAATCGATATGCGATACTCGAAACTTAAGCGCCTGCTTCTAAGTTAAAGCTTCAATTTGAAACCATAAGATTTTGCTGGCCATTTTTGCGATGCCAATATCCAATTGGTTGCTTACAGAACACGAAGATAATTTCCGACAACTGATGAAATTATTACCCCGAGTGAATACACTTGTTCCAACCTCACTATGTACCAATTTGTTTCAGCAATTTTTTCTTCAAGTTTTGCTAATACTTACCGCGCAGACGGGTTGGTAAGTCACCATCATCAGTCTGTAAAATTTCGTGGGTTTAGTGGCGCAGTGACTAAGCATTAAGTTGGTGCGTTGAGGGAAGTGGGTTCGAACCCCGCACGTAACAAGTATTTCTATGACTCACAATTAATTATTTTGAGTATGAATTTTTTTAATTGCCTCCACGATACAGGCGAAAATCCTGGTACAGTTAAAGTAAAGTTACAGCCTATATACATCATACTGCTGGGCTCAGGCCTCCCCTCATTTCTGAGAGGGTTTAGGACAAGGAAGTGTCCGCCGCGCTGCCCCAATGCGTGTCGACGAACTTCACATGTCTTCGAAATATTTTTAGACATGCAGGTTTCCTCACGATATTTTCCTTCACCGCCGAGCACGTGGTAAATCAGCACTTAAAATTGCAATTAACAATTTCATTGGTGCCGGCGGGGAAAAATCCTGGTGTTACTAACGATATACAAAAAAAAAAGAAATAAAAGAAAAGAATATACAGAAATTCCCGTTATTCGTCAATCAGTAGGTACCCTTCCTGTGGGCAACGCTGCCTTATTTCGTTTTGCATCCCCAGTTTAATAAAGGCTCAATTAGATTTAATTATTAACTATAAACTTTCAGCTTTATGTGGTTCATGATAAAAGTGACATTCGGCGAGCACAACCGTTGCAATGCGACAGTCCGTCCTGAGACAAGATTCGTGATACGAGTCATCGCCAATAAGTTCACCCTCACGAATTTCGACAATGACATAGCGCTGCTTCGACTTAACGAACGGGTCCCGATGTCTGATGCCATAAAGCCTATTTGCTTGCCCACAGATAAAAGTAAGTACAACATTTATGTAGAATTTATATGAATTTACAGTAGTTTTAGGAAAAACGAGCTATTACATCTACAACTACTTCTACTACTAAAGATGTAGATCTTTTTGGCTTTGTTGTATTTTCAAATTTATTCAGGCAAATAATCATATCGAAATCTCAGGAGGAACAAGTTTTTTTTCTATATTATTTTCTATATTATTAGTTATATTTGTTATTGTTTCACTCTTTCTCAATAAATCGCTTGCTAATTAATTGGTACTCAGACTTTCCAAAACGTCCTCGATTTTATAATTTTGTTGTATGGAGCTATGGAGTAATAGATGTATGTGCAGTTATGATAGATGTGTGATAAAACTTAATTAGGGATTGAAAAGATAATAATTGTAGGTACTTTTTTTTTGTTTCATTTAACTTCATTCGTTCATCATGTAAAATCTACTGCATGACACTCTTCTGTTGTAGGAAATATTCGCCTTTTTTATTTGCTTAATACAAATCGTCAGAGTTGATAACTCCTACTTTGACCGTCGCTCAATATCCATTCGAAAATGCTTAACATGCATCTCCGAGATTTGCAGTCGTCATTTTAAACTATTAGGACACGCTCATACTCAGACACTTTATATTATTACAATTGGGAGAGGTGATTTGGAAGACGTATCTGAGCTAAGAAAATTAAATTCATCTCAATTACGAATTACACCATCTTGAAATGCCTTAATATTAGAAGTAGATTTTAAGGCAGATAATTTATGCTTGACTCTTTTACTGTAGAAGCCTTGAACCCAAAGGCTTTGTCGTTTGCAAAAGGAGGTGTGTACGAAAAAGTTTATTGAAATATAATAGGTATATACGACCGAGAACTCAAAGCTAACTTTGTTATTGTATTTTTAACTCGAAATTGACGCTCGGGAATTGATACTGCTTGAAATAGTATGTATTTAAAAATAAATTTGCATATAAATGAAATATTCGTTTAGATTCTTAATCGAATGAATTTTTAAAATACTTAACGTATTAATCGAGATAAAAAATTGAAATTTAATCGCAGGGATAACACTTTGACGTTTGAAATCTCGTTTTAAATGGAAAACCATATAATAATTTTCGATAATATAAAAGGCATGTTATTGAATTAAATTCATGATCGGCTATATTTTTATTTAGTTCCTTTATTTTCAGATAATAAACAAAACGTTTCCACTAAAGTAACTTTTTGTCCGCCGAATGCCGTACGCTTACTTTGTGCTGGACAAATATGTATGCAGTAGAGAAGGCGATGCTAAAAGCCTTTTAACGTAGGAAATCTACGCCTCAACGATGTAACTTTCTTTTTAGTAACGACTCTTTTTCGTCAGTATAATAAGAAATTAGAAATTAAACTCAAAAATATCTATTAGCAAGTATTTTCCCACTTGTCAAAAGAAATTGTGTATTCTGTGATTCATGGATACCGTCAATGCCATAATCTTCTTATATCTGTTGTGGTCCAAAATATTAAACTAGAGGCTGTCCTCAAAAAATATTGTCTTGATCGAGGTTATTCCGATTACGATAATCGTTTTTATATATAAATATCGTTTAATGTTTTTCGATTTCTAAATAGTACTTAAAAAATTATACCATTATATATTTTCATCATGTCCATTTATAATATAACGATGCAAACTGACCTAATTACAATTGAGAACTCAATCTAGCTAGTTAGTTGCTTGCAGTTCTTGAGCAACAGTGCTTATATGCAAGCTTCATAGCGTTAGTCTTCTCTTTTCAATCGACGGCCAAATTTAAGACCCAAAAGTTTTCTGAATACCTTCCTAAATTATGACTTCTAGTTTGTGCATATCATATTGTTAATCAAATTAGACAATTATTATTAGATAATTAGACTGCTCTATCGTATATCAATATTTATTCGGGAAGGGTCCTACTGTTTCTTGCTGGTTCTTCCCAAAACAGAGGTTTTTTTCCAAATAAATTAATATCAATAGGTATTTTAGTAATCTATAAGGAATAAAAAAATTCTATTCTATTTCATTATATTCCTTATTTTTTCATAAATTCACCGCTGATATTAAGATTAACGGGCTGATGAGTGATACACACACCTAACCAATGGCTTCATGTCCGTACTATTGCACGAATGGTGTACTATAAATACGAATTATAATATTTTTAAAATGAAATATAACATCGTGAGGACACATGTGTAAAATAAACTTCAAGGACACATCATGTGAAGCCCATAAAAATTTACTCAAAATACGCAACGATTTCTTCTCACTCCAACGCTTTTACAATGATCAGAGGAGTGATGATCTGAGATGATTTAATTTGTGTTGTCAAGAGTAATATTTGTTTTATTAACCAAAACAAGTCTAACGAGTTAGCAGTGCCATGTGTTGGTTACGAAATAGAATCCATCCTATTTTGATCTGGGGATGTCGTTAAAAGTAATTCTATGCACACGAACAGAAAGAGCTCATTGCCACCAATAGATTGCGGTATAATCGCCTATATTGCTACCGCTACCTAATACCCAGACTAGTCGAAGCATCAAAGTTTAAGTTCCTATGATGGTGGAGATGTAGGGACTAATTTCCAGCACTGGACTGTTATGGGCTAATTGAAGAAGAATAAGTTTTGGTACAATACTGAATGGACCATGCGTTGATTTTGTAGTATTACTTATATACAATTGTATCAATATTTTATTAATATTTACAAAATATATTATAATATTTTTTATATTATTTGAGTACTGAAACGAGCAAGGAGATAGGCAGTAGCGCCTTCTCAATAACAACTGAAGAAACTGCAGTTGCCAACCTGCTAACAAGCGTTGGCAACTACGGAAAATATCCCATATGAGACAATCTATAGAGAAGGCTCTATAGAAATATGGTCATCAGTCGACTTTAGATCTCTTTAGATAGACTGCAACAATGACGGTAATATATTATTAATTAAAATTAATAGCTCAGTTTTTTAACAGCTAAGCTCTATGTCGGAGTCAAAGCAGTAGCATCAGGCTGGGGCACCCTTAGTGAAGAAGGCAAGGTCTCATGTACTCTCCAAGAGGTAGAGGTTCCGGTAATGAGTAATGAAGACTGTCGTAAAACAAAGTATACGGCGTCAATGATCACAGACAATATGCTGTGTGCTGGTTATCCGAAGACTGGACAAAAGGACTCGTGTCAGGTACGACAGTGGATAATAAAAAGTAATAGAGAAAAGGAAATAAAGATTGTTAACAAACTCTTAGGGATACACATAATATATTATTATTTTGGTTGATAATATTTATTTATAATTAAAATTCCACGCTCTCACAGAATAAAAAATAACAGTTTAATGCTGCTGTGTTTCGTATAGTAACTGTAGATAACCGGAGACTGGTAATGAGGCATTCTATCTTAATAATAGATATATTGATTATATTAAGATGAGAATATAAAATTATATCTACCTATATATAGTCTACATGTAAATATATAGATAGAATTTAAAATACTTATTACTTAATTATTAAATACATTTACTAAAATAAAATATAAACATTAGCTAGACCATAAAATAGATAAAAGTTTTTTCTTCGAATAACATACATTTACGTATATTCACCATGCTAACATTGCATATTCACGTAGATTACATAGTCATTTATTCATCTATTGCAAATTATACGACAGTACTTGTGTGTCGATCGATTCGTCGTCAGCATACACAATGCGTTATGAGATGGTACTGTGTAAAAACGTAAAAAAGTTTGCTCACTCTCTATCTTTTTTCAGGGCGACAGCGGCGGGCCACTTATTACTGAGAGAAAGCATGACAAACGCTACGAATTAATAGGTAATGAATATTGATGTTTGCAATACTATTCAATGTTGTTGGCATTTTATCCTTTGGTAAACAACGACATATTACTTACTTTAATGATAAATTACTATACGCAATTTATTTAATGTGGCCTATTTATTACTACATTTTGCTTTCTGTGTTGGTTTGTAATTATTAGATATTACCTACTATTAAGTGATGAATTTGTAAATTCGAATACTCGTAATTTGAAATTTTACCATATAATACGGTTAAAAGTCGCTTAAAATTGTTGCAAATAGAACATGTAAGTCAGAAACGGGCCTTTAATGGTAAGTGGTTATTGCAGCGAATGGTTAGGTACTTGCAACCCGTTTCAAAGAAAGAAATATTGGGGCACATCTAGGGACTAAGATGGAATCTCTTAGAGCTTGCAATTACGTTAGAACAACAGCGAGTAAGTAACAAAATCGATCTACGAGTATTGTAATACATATTCGAAATACTTCAGCCCTGGTGGTTTTAAGATAAAACATCAATTGATTTCCTTTTGTAAGTGTTATAGAATAGATAAGAATAATTTTTATTCAGATTACAAATAATTCTTATTGAAAGTCAATTATTTAATTTACCACTGGTTCGAAAAAAAACCTCTGTCCTGGGAAAAACCAGCAAGAAACCCAGCTGGACTTTTTTTAAATAAATTTTACAATGTCTATGCGTAATGTAATATGCGGGCTTAAGTTAAAGAAAAATGTTAAAAATGCTTATGAATTGATGAAAACTTTTTATTTTGTCATCCTTATAATCACAACTTATTACAAGTCCACAGAATTAAAAGAATATATACACTCCTTGCGCCAAATACTTCTCAAAGCAGGTAAAAATACTTTTTTTTAAAATATCAAAGTGCAAAAAGATCTCGAAACCAACACGTGCGTCACAAGGACCGGATTATTAGAATTTATAAGGCGAAGATAAAAGTTTATGTTCAGGTCAATATTTGAATTGTGTGGCTAAAGAATACGATGCAAGTTATTATAATTTTCTATTTATAGGCGTGGTGTCGTGGGGCAACGGTTGCGCTAGAGTCGGATATCCAGGCGTCTATACCCGGGTCACCAATTACTTAGATTGGATCAAGGAGAACACTCAAGACGCTTGTTATTGTACAAGTTAATAAAAAAAATACGCCTATGTAATGAAAAAAATTATACTTATTTACCTGGAACGTAAAATAGTTTTGACAATTCTCTGCAATTTAATATTAATCTTAATCTATCATATCCTTAAAATGTGATACTAAATAAACTTTTAAAATTATTTCGATGTAATTTTTGTACCCATTACCAAAAATTTATCTTCTTAGCATTGGAAGATTTTTTTATTGCCATTAAATTAGGAATAAGATTATGTGGGAATATTTATTGTTTACAATTTAGAAAGTCAATAAAGTACTTGGAAAAAAATGTATTTTATTTTTCGATATTGCAATTATATTACCTGCTTTATACGTAATATTTCACTAAGTTTTTTTATGTGGTAAAACCATGCTGCATTTAGTTGCGGTCGATCGGGGAAGGATCACGCTCTCACGGAATACCACCGTGAAAGTAAATAATATAACAAAATACTTCAATAACACGTTACAACTTTTATACTGCTGTGTTTCGTATGGTGAATGTAGGAGAAGCTGAGACCCCTTTTTACTGGAAATGAGGTATTCTATTTTAGTGCACAGGTGTGACAACGCATCTGCATTTTGATTACTAATTGAGGATAGATGTATCACCACAACATCCATTTACCATCTGACTGTATGTTCGTTTGCAACCTTATTCTAAAAAAAACTTAAAATAGTAGATAACACTTTTAGTGGTAGGGTCGCTTCCAAAAGTTTTTTGCTGATAGTGATAGGCCCTAAGTAGTTTCGATACGGAAAATTAGCTGGTGGTAGAAGATTCCACATGAAAGTCATGCCAAGAGGAGATAACGCATCTGAATTTTGATTCTTAATTGAGGATAAATGTAGATTGTATATTGTCTATGGGCCACAGCATCCACTTATCATCAGCTAGACTTGTGCTCGTTTGTTACTCTTATTTTATATTAAAAAAAAGCAAAAGATGACATTTTATACAAAGACAATTTTTAAAACTGCAATTTTTACAGTTATTAAAATGAAAAACAAATATTCTTCGAATCTTAAAAATTTAATTTTAACCATCGCAAATACCAAAATATATGTATAATTAATAATAGTATTTACAATTAAAATTTATTGCACACAATGTAAAAAAAACAATAATATAGAAAAACTAAAACTAAAAATTTAAATTATCATAAAGTCCTGCTCCCCGTGGTATCGTACCAAGAACGCTGGCTGCGTTTCCTCGCTGAATAGCTATACTAAGCCTTTGAGCGAAAAAAGAACCAGCCCTCTTATTACCAGCAGCGACGACCAGTCGCGGATACAGTTTCTTTAAGAACTTCACTGCACGTGGACCCCACGGACTGATAGTCTACAGCAAATGGCACAAATATGTAGTCATTTCTCAAAGACTATACTATTTGCGCCATTTACTTAATTCAGCTGCCTCTGATGATAAGAATGAAATCGACTTCGTTCTTATATCTTAGAAAATAAGAATCAAATTAGTGATTGTGACGTCGAGGTCATTGATCCATGAGGTCATTGCCAAATACGCTCGCCCATACAGCCTCCAATGAATGCCTAAAACGGCGCTTTTCACAAGTAGCTTTTGGAATAAAACATTTAAACATTTAATCTGCTTTATCTTACACTTCCATATTCATCACAAATTCCAAAAAATATTTTGAGCAGGATTTTTTTTATTTAATGTAGTTTGTTTTTAGGTTTGTTTGTATCGAATTATAAGCTACATTTTAGGGCGCCCAAACTTCATTAGCTCGTTGAAATCGAAGACATAAGTTAGTGTATCAATAACAGGGAGCACAGTGATATACATAGGCATGGTAAATTTTAGTTTCCTTCGTGTACATATTAGATAAAATATTAAAATAATATTTATTTTTATTTTATACGTCAAAATGAAAAGAATTATGTGGTATTTTATTTACTTTTTGTTCGTTTTTATTAGTGCCAGTGACACATTTAGTAAGGTAAGGTGACTTCAATATTATATATTGATTCGTAGAAGTTGTGGTAGGCGATTATCTTTTCTAGTTTATTGACTTTTGTTGTGAAACGGTACATTTTTGAGCGATTGCTTACTTTTAAGTTTGATTTGTTAAATAAACATTCAACTTAAATTACTTTAACTGGAATTACTTAAATAAATATATTACAGACGTTCAGATAAGTTTTAGGGTTATTGATGACATAAATTATATCATCTTAAATTTATTAAAAAAATATTAATTACTTATTAATGCTAGTTTATTTTATTTATGCAATTTTTAGCTATTTATACCGTGTTGATCTTATATAATATACTTAATATAAGATCAAAATAGTCCTTATATAAACAAAGTATTGACATTTTTGTGAATTTTGTAGGCTCAATTAAAAATCTCCGACACATCATACGGTGCTTCAGATTCAGTATTAAAGAGACAGCAGTTACCTCCGTGTAGGGATTGCAGTAAGTTTAAGATATTTTGGAATTATTGGGAATTATATTGATGAGTAAAAAATACAAAGTTACTTTTTATTTGCAATTTCTAAATACAGCCATTGTGAAAACATATTTTTTTATAGAATAAGGGTGACAAACGAGCACATAGTCATCATGGTAAGTGGATGCTGTGGCCCATAGATATTTACATTTATCCTCGATTAAGAATCAAAACGCAGGTGCGTTATCACCCCTGAGGACTAAGACGGAATGCCTCGTAACCAGTAACAAAGGTTCTCCGGATCTCTACACTCACCATACGAGACACTTCAGTATTAAGCTGCTATTTTACACTGGTATTCTGTGAGAGCGTGGTCCTTCCCCGGTCGAGCCGACCCATTCGTTCTACAACTATAATATAGCTGCAGTGTGGCTCTACCACGTATAAAACACCTGTGTTGGACCCCCAACACATGTCTTGGAGTTTACCTAATCATAAGATATATTAATCTGGTATCAATAAGTCAGTTATGCTACATATCAGACTAAAAACATAAACAAGGAAAATAATGAAAACTCATACTATATATATTATAATTCAGGCCCGTAATGTTGCTACCCGCTACCATATCTTGAGCTTCGTTCCTTGAACCTCTTCAGACATATAAAAAAACATAATGAAATTGCTTGTTAGTTAATACTGAACAATTCATAGAATGGTTCTACCTTTACTTTTAATTTTAATAGACCCTCAACGTATGATATAATAACCAATTATTTCTCTATGAAATAAGAGTTATTGAAAAAGTAAGACAAAGCTAAAATTTAGCTCAATGCTATTTGTGTTCAAATCACTCAGAAGTAATTATATCACAAAAATATCTACGACAGTAGAATTACGTATGAGATGTCTTTTTTCTGCCGTTCGGAGATCTGGTATTTTAGTGTTTCTAATTGCTTTTTATTTGATTATCTTCAAAATGTAGCTCAAACATAAGTTCCTATTGTACATGTTTTAAAAAAACTAATAAACTGTTACACAGGTTGTGGAGAACGTAACGAAGAACCAAGAGTAGTTGGTGGTTCTGGATCTAATGTTAATGCTTTTCCATGGATCGCCCGTCTAATCTATCATAAATCGTTTGGCTGTGGAGCTTCTCTTATTAATGACAAATATGTTATTTCAGCAGCTCATTGTGTTCAAGGGTAAATATTCATTAAAACAAAAATTATAGTGTTATATGGAAATAATGCTTAATTCCTTTACACATTGTCAGCCCGTAAACAGGCCGATACTCAGAGAAGTTCATGTAGTCCCAATGGACCCGCTGAACATGCCTCTTTTTATTATGGTGAATATACCATCACAGTATCAGACATCTCATACTTTAGGAAGTGGTTTCTTCTTTCTTTGTTTCTATTGGCCTCTTTTAATCCATGAAGTGTTTGCCGTAATCTGTCAGGCGTATTGAGGACCGCAGCACCAGTCGTATCGCACATTTAGTGCTACTTACCGTTGCCGGTCTGGTTATTTTACAGATACGCTATGGCAAACAGCCCTTTTTTGGAGACCATAAGGTATTTCTGGTGCCCGGTAAAATGAGATGTCCACCAGACCGAATTTCAGTCACGGCGGCGAGTCTTAATGAAGACTAGCCTTCTGCGCAGGATTATAGTGCAGAAGTTCTCTTCATTTCCTCACTCTCATATTCTGAACGGACGGAAATCTATCATAACCGGAGAGAGATTAATACCACAAATTTTCTGATTCTGGGTTCTACTGAGGAATTCTTGATAGCAAAAGTTCTTTATTTTGGAACTGGGATTCGAACCTGGGATCGCATGATCTGTAGTCACTCACGTCTATTAGACTAACGAGACAGTCATGAAAATTTCTTCTTATGGTTGGCTTCGTTAAATTAAGTAGTATAATAAGATAAAAAGAAATATGGTATATAATATTATATGATTCAAGTTTAGATTAACGAGAAATATAGTGAAAACCATTTGTTTAATATACCTTTGGTATTACATTGATTACACACAATTAGTTTTGTGTATATTAGTAATGTATTTACGTTTGATGTTTTTGCTAATGATTTAGGTACAGGTTGACAGGTTGACAAACGAGCCCAAGTGAATTTCATGACCCATGGCCACCTCTCGTACATTTATCTTCAACTTAGAATCAAAATCTAGTTACGTTGTCAACCCTGAGGACTCCAGTTCTCTACACGTACCATAACAAACACAATTGCACAGTATTTTACGCAGTTATTTTGTGACAGCGTGGTCTTTTGCCGGTCGGGCCGACCCATTTGTGTTACAATTATATCATAGCTACATCACGGCTCTTCCATGATAGAAATAGTTTTTCATCTCTTTGTTCCTTTCAGATTCATGTGGTTTATGTTTCGCGTGACTTTCGGAGAGCATGATCGATGTGTATACAAGCCCCGGCCTGAGGCGCGGTACATCACGAAAATGATTGTGCATAACTTTACGTTGACGGAACTCACAAATGATGTATCTTTGCTTCGCCTCAATGAACCTGTACAGTATTCATTTGCGGTCAGACCCGTTTGTTTACCAAAGGCCTCAGGTATGTCTATTTTTATCTTAAAATGAGAATATTTAAAAAAATGCGAATAATTTTTTATACGTGGTAGTGTAATGTTGAACGGTTGGTAAATGAAAGGAAACGTGTTTCTCTACTCAAGACTTTAATTATACTGTCACTTAAACCTAAGAGTAAGTACATTTATTAACATATGCTAGTAGGGTGGAGGCACATACACTACACCTCCCCCGATACTTTAAAAAAAAAGGAAAGTTCTCTATTTACTTTTTTTTACATTTTATTTTTCATGAATCTTATAACATAATAATAATTTTAATATTGAATAATTTTTAATATTTATTTTTAATCTTTTAATATTGAAGATTAAAATAAAATACAATGTTACATAGGCTTTAAATGTATATAATTTCTAATTGGAATAAAATAACGTAGTTAAACAAAATATAAAACTAACTTCATTTAAAAAAAAATTATAATCTCATGATCATGATCAGATTATACCATGGTTATACATAATCATATTATTAAGTCAATCCGTGATACGCATGCGATTTTATTTCGTTAACATTTTTATTTCGTACGACATTAAGCCTGTCGTATTTTTGATATTAATCAATGTCATAACTACACGTTAACATGAACATAACACCTATCATACCATATACTTATTAATATTTTTTTTTTACATTTATTTTCACTCGAGATTTATTACATTAACTATATGTTCTAGTTAGAAGTTATGATTTAAAAGTTCAAACAATATAAAACTGAAAAATAAACTATTACATTTCATATTAAGCAGTACCTGCTCTACCTTTATATATATTTATTCACATTTGTATTCATAATTGTATATACTTTATATTTAATTTATTTATACCTTTATATTTGTTTAACTATTGCTTTCATGATCCACACAAATAGGTTAGACATTAATATTCTACTATATTTTCAGAAATTAATGACTTATAAAAGTTAAAGCATGTGATTAGCAGGTTTAATGAATATAACACCGATAATATTACATTTCATTTAAATATGAAAAGACCAAAAACATAATGTAATGCAACGCAAATATCATCGCTATCAGCAATAACGGGAATCAAAATACAACTTGCAATCCCAGTCGCGTAAGCGGTTTGTGACACCTACGTTTTAAATTTCTAAGTAGGTAGGTACGTATAAGGCTACGTTTGCAATTACATCGGACTATGATCACAAGGTGTGGTGATTCATACCTAACATTAAGTAACTTCCATAATATGTTATAATATGAATGCAAGTAAAATATACCTTAAAACTTGGAACAGATATTTAAAAATACTTAGTTGCATTGTTAATAATAAAATATTACTTTTACTTCTAAGAAATACGTTTATCTTAATTGGGACAGAAATTTATATAAAAAGAGAATACACTTTTAGGTACACAGCTCTAAAGTTTTTTTTTTACAAAATATTTATTTACATTGGAAAAGACAATTTTATTTCAAGCACGTGACACAATTTTAGGTTTTCGTTGCCTTTTTTATAGAAAAAAAAAACGATTACATTAAACAATTTACAATAATAGTGTATCGATAACCTTTGGACTTAATTATAATAAGCTTTATATAAATGTAGTTCAAAATTGTACACATTTTACATAAGAAAACATGAGACCGAAAAAAAAATTATTTAAAGTAGAATCATTGTAAATACGAATCAATGTGCCTAAATATGAAAAAATCTCGTAAATTTATATAAATTTACGCGAAAGTGTACTTATCATATTGGGTTGATATATTTTTATTTGTTTACGTGTAGTTGTGCGAATCGAACCCTATAGCTGTTATATGTGCAACTTGCTAGTAGCATTTTGGGTAGCGTTAATAGTCCTAATATAGAAATGCAAAATAACCATCTATCCACTATTAGATTATCATACATTTATCACACTTTTTAATTTGCTCGGGGATCCCCTTATTATCCTGTATTGTCATCAATTATTAGGCCTTTTTTTCCATAATTCTTGTACGTACTTTCTTTTTTTTTCTTCTTAATATTTTTTTACTTATATATTTATTTATTTATTAGATACCGGGAATCGGAGTATTATTTCATTTCATTTATATTTTATTTCGTGATATTTATCACGCGGGTACTTTATAAATATGGGCCCCCCATTTATTTGGGTATTATATTACATTTTCGTAACATTCATTTCATTTTATTGGTACATATTTTATTTTTATTTTATATCAAGGTAAAATGTACCTTGGGTTGTGCGCACAACCTTGAGGTCTACGTTTAAGTCATTTTCAAAGGACTCCAACAATTGTCACTGAGGAAAACTACGTTCGCACCATGATCCAACGAAGGATGTGACCTCAATGTACCATTATTAAGGGTAACAAATTTAAGACTTCTCTGGTCCCTAACAGTACTAATATGAGTAAACTCAGTTACATCACTTGTACTGAAGGCGTTGTTCCCTAGTACCCGTTACTCCGGTTTCATCGTCCAATCACGGAAACGTACCCTGCTCGAGGACTATACGCTATACCAGTGTTGAACGTTCCCATATCTCTCCATTACTTATTGGTCAATGTCATATTTTTATTTATTTTTATTATTGCCATAAATATTTATTCCTTCTTTATTTCTTCATTACCTTGTTCTTTATTTATATACTTTCGTGCCCCACTTCTATATACTAACTTGCATCATTCTCACACATTTCAAGTCGCACAGTTTAAGTATCATCAATATTTGGGTGATCAGTCCAATATTGACAAAACTTAGTAACTAAATCATTTGTATTTACACGTTCGAACATTTTTCCGTTCCTCATACCAATTACATGCTTTCTAATTTTTGTACAAATGAGATAACATTCTTATCAATAAATTTTCTTTGTCGGTGTTTAACTTTTTTTGAACCATTATTATTAAAAACTCTCTTAACTACTTTATTCCTGTTTACACTGTTATTTATTTACTATTTTCATCTCTATAACAAATCATTCTCTACTATTATCATTTACTCATTTATTTTCATACACTTATTATTTTTATCGCTATTACAATGTTTTTATGATTTATCCTACACCTGTTAATGTGTTGCATGTTGTTGTGTTCAGTTTAAATTTATCATCTATGTTACCATGTTTTTTTTTAGGATACGCTCATTGCATAACATTTTATAATATCATATTTTTAGAAACATCAGTATCATTCGTAAGAAATGGTTAGCAGACCTTTTATATTCACTGTGTAAAGATTGACTCTTGTTGTACGAGTATTTACCTACCTAACTAGTTTCTTGTCTTTCAAAAGAAATAAAAGTGTTATTTTAGCCAGAAAATATGAAAAATATAATTGATAATAAACGTTAAAATAATCGCATCGTATGATCGTGCCTAATGTCAACTTAACGTGTACAATTTGTTACTACATAAGTAGTAGTACTCATATAAATGAGTGCGAGTAAAAAAAATGTACCTTAAACTAATATTTTTAATTTCTTATTTATTCAGAAGTCCACATGGTTACATCGTTAAAAGCTATATCGCTTTTATACAGATCGAAAAATATTACTGAAAGTATGTTATTTATTATGTCGTGTATACAGAATAATTGAAATCACATTATTAGAGTTATCACCTTTACACAATGATACAATAATTTATTCAAACATTTAAAAGGAAGTTTTTTATATTTTACATAAGTTATTATATAAATTTAAGATTTAATGCCTTTAAAAAAAATTAAAACTTATAATGATAGTGAAATGTTTCTAACCCTTTAAAATTTGGATTCGAGTAAAAAAAATCAACGAAATGTATCACAGTGTTATTTTAAATCAAGTGTGTAAAATTGGAATCTATTATTTTATTATTTCATTAATTGTTTGGCAGGACACAGTAAAAAAATAATACAAAACTATAACTTCATAAATGAGAATATAAAGTCTGGTCTGGCGCCTTAATAGAAGTGCCACATAAGTGCTTAAAATTCAACTTAATTTTTAATACTCTATTATAATTGTTTTTTTTGTAGGTATTAAAATATTTGATAATAAAGTATATTGTGAATAATCTGATAACTAATTTCAACTTAATTATATGTAAAATACAGAATATTTAATATCTAACTTTAAAAACATAATAGCAAAAAAAACCAATCTTAAATTGTTAAATAAAGTTTGAAATAGAATTAAAATCACATAGGTGCGAAGTTACCTCATAATTTGTTCTTTTCGGCTCAATTTTTCTATCTTCTTATCGGTTAAGGCTTACAGGAAGTTTCTTCTATTTTTCTTAAATTTGTGTTCTCACCCTCTAATTCGTTTAATCTTCGTGTAATATTTGAAGCTGTCATAATATTTGTTTCTGAAGTTGATCGTTCCCGTTTTTTTTTTCGTAACATTTTTCTTCTTTTTCTAATAGGTTTTATTAGCATATCTCCTTAAAGAAATAATAACCTTGTCGCCTCTTCTTATGTCTCCGTTTCGGCTTACTTGTCACATCCGGTAGTGTCAATTCAATAGTTGAAAATTGTTCCTTTAGTTTTATATTTATTTTTCCATGTTTCTTTAACTACTTGTGCAGGCCGCGGCGGTGCGCGTGCCTTGTCGCCGCGCACCGCCTGGCAGGGTCGCCATGTAATTTTGAACGGTTGGTAAATGAAAGGAAACGTGTTTCTCTACTCAAGACTTTAATTATACTGTCACTTAAACCTAAGAGTAAGTACATTTATTAACATATGCTAGTAGGGTGGAGGCACATACACTACAGTAGAATCATGCGCAGGAGCATACTACGCATCATTAATTGACTAACTGAAGGCAGAAATTGCGGAAAAACGGCCACATTTGTAGCAAAAGAAAATTCTGTTTCACCATGACAACGCGCCGTCTCACGCCTCACCGATTGCCATGGCGAAAATCCACGAATTACGGTTTGAACTGCATGACCGTGCGCCTTACTCACCAGATCTAGACCCAAGCGATTTTTTTTGTTCCCTAATCAAAAATTGCGCT